ATGAATATATATATTTTAACCTTTACTTGCTCTGCTACCCTTCTTAAGACTAAAGAAATTGAATATGTGATCAAAGTGTTTGAATGCAAAAATAAAAATGTATATTGAAAGAGCAATCTTTGGGTCCCAGTCCCACCCCATCTGTACAGCCCTACCTTCCACAAAAACTTGGGCAACTGTGGTCATCAGTTCTTTATGCTGACTTCCAGTTTTATTTGTTAGGTTTAATATATTCAAAACTGTACACCAATGTTCTTACTTTGCATGTAGCAAATGCAAATTATCTCATAATGTTTTAACACTTGTGTGTTCTTTGAAGTATTTGGAAGATAAATATTGTTACATTTGTATACAAATTTTAAAGTCAAAGCATTACTTGTGGAATTGAATCTTTCCTTCTACTGTTCAGTTGTGCATGGCTGCAAGCAACCTAATCTGCTGAGTCTTCTTGCCAGGAATGGGCATAGTTATTACTTTAGTTTAAACCCCATGAGGTATTGACACCATTTATTAACCATTTGGGATATGTGGTGTGACTAGGAATAAAGGTTTCTTCACTTACAATCTTAAATGGCATCACTTTGTACAGGTGAATTGTCAGATCTGATTGCTGGCTTCAAATTCACAGTGATGCTACTTTCAAGCTGTTTCAAGCTGAAGGGTGATACTTGAGGACCCAAATTTGTAGTAAGTTGTCAAGACTAATTATCCAAATATAATTCTCTTTTATCCATAAAAATATTAGTTACCATTTCACTTACTATGTATAAGGCTGAACATCTCAGCTGAAATTTTTCTTTTTTTTTGCATGTATGGAATGCTAATACCGATTTTATTAAGTTTTGTCCCATTTTATTGAATTACATGAAAGGATGCTTTGAGATCTAAAAATGCTATGTAAATGTCAAATAGTGCTATATACGTGCTGAAAACAATATAGATGTTCAAACTGAAGCTCTCCAAATTATCACCGAACATGTCAGTTTATTGAGAGCTTAATTATCTATGTTTTAAAGGTTGATATTACTAACATAATTTTACTATTTTCCTTCTTTGGACATGAATGCCTAAACGTCATCATTAGGGATGATTGTGTGTGATTGAGTTTGTATGTGATGTGTTGAATAGTGAAAGAATATTCTCACAATCTTTTCCTGTACATATATGTAATTAGAAAACATTCCCCTGAATTCTCTTTCAACAAAATAAATAATTCTTAGACTGTTTATCTTAGTTATCTTTCCCATTTATTTCTTCTCTGTGTAGTGAAAGGACTGTATTGATTCCTAAATCCTTTCTAGCTTTAAAGCCGATTCCATTGTGATCTATAGAACTATCTCCAAGTTCTCCTTGTACCTTTGAAGTTTCTGGTCACATCCCACTGAACTGAATCACACACTGATGACTACTTGTCCAGTGGTAAACACTACCTTTAAAGATTTGTTCAAGGACATTTTATAATAAAAGTTAAACTTAAATTCTATATCAAAGCTAAATGAAAATCTTTATTTGAAATTAAAAAAATCAAAACATGTTTTAAGAAACAGTAAGTAGCCAATTAGCAACTAAATATCTGTGGTATATAGAAAATAATTTTAGAATATTGTGAAAAATAACATAATAGTATATACAAATGTACACATTTAATCAAATACTAAGTTATTTATATCTCCATTTTTGAATTCTTACGGATTTGAACTTAATGATTTTTATTGAAATTATAACTTGTGTTCTAAAGTTCATCCAGTTGATTTATTTTTGAGGAATTCTAAACATTATATCAGTGAAATAAATGTTGGAGAGAAATACTACATCATAAAATGTCTTATTTTATTTTTAAACAAGATGCACCAGCCTCCTGAAATCTAGTCCCCAACTTAGGTAGAGACTCTGTGCTCAACCACAGGTCATTCCAGCCTGAAGACTAGAGAACAGAAAACAAGGGAAAAACCACCCATTCAACAAACTCAGAAATAGGCCTAGATCTATAAATACCCTACCCAATGCCTAGATGCCAACATAAGAACACAATCAACAGCAACAATGATAATATGTCAGCATCAGAGTCCAGATAGCCCGCCACAAAAATCCCTGAATACTCCAAAACAGCTGAAGCACAAGAAAATGACCTGAAAACTAACTTTATGGAGATGAGGGAGATCATTAGAATGGAAATGAATAAACTCCTTAAAGAAATCAAAGAAAAGACAATTTGAGAAAATTAATAAATTCCCTAAAGCCCAGAAAGCCAAGAAAATAAAGCAAATAAAAACAATTGAAGAAAATTAATAAAACTGTACAAGACCTGAAAATTGAAAGAGAAGTAAAAGAACCCCACAGACTGAGGGCATTCTGGAGATGGAAACTCTAGGTAAGTGAACAGGAGCCATAGAAGTAAACAAACCAACAGAATATAAGAGATGGAAAGGAGAACTTTAGGCATTTAAGATATGATAGAAGAAATAAATGTCAGTCAAAGAAAATGTTAAATTTAAAAATTTCCTGACACAAAACATCCATGAAATCTATGACACTGAAGAAATTATCGTAAAAGATTAGGATTAGCAGAAGACAAAGAATCGCAGCTCTAAGGCCCAGAAAACATTTTTTGAGCCAAAATGAATTTTATTTTTCACCTTAAGAACTGATTTTCTTACATATTTAGTCACAATCATGGAAAAGAACATAAGACAGTATTCAGTCTTCTAGTATCAGTTTTTATTGCCTACAATCTATCATTCCCCAACTTATTAAACATTTTTAACAAAATCATTGAAGAATATTTTCCTACCATGAAGAAGGAGATGCTAACAAAGGTAAAAGGAGCATGCACAACACCAAATAGATTAGACCATTAAAAAATGTCCCTTTGCCCATAATAATCAAGACACTGTTTTAGTCTAGTGGTAGTGAGAACAAATCACACCGTTCAACAAACTCTCATGTTAGAAGCTTGCTGGAGAAAAAGGGATGGGGGTGTTGGAAAGGAGAGGTGCAAAGGTTTGTCTGCCTCTTCAGAGGAGAAGCGGAAAAGGGAGAGGGATGGGCGGAGCTCACTTAGCACATGCACAGAGACTACACAGTGATGTAGCAGCCGTAGGATCCTGGGTTGGCCAGGTATATGCCTGAATGCTGTCAATGCATATGCTCAGGGGATTCTTTCAGAGACTACAGCTTTGGACCCAGGAGGTAAACAAGCATGATATGTGAAATGCTAGAAAGCTCATGAGTGTAGGGAGTGACTGTGGTTAGTGATGTATTTGCTAGGTCCCAAAAGGCAGCCCAGCTAGCATAATGCCTGAATGCTGACAAACATCAAATATAGAGAACAAAGAAAGACTATTAGAAACTGCAAGGGAAAAGCACCAAGTAACATATAAAAGCAGACATATCAGAATTATACCCAACTTCTCAATCATAACTCTAAAAGTCAGAAGTTCTTGCAAAGACAGATGTCCTGCAGACTCTCAGAGACCACATATGCCAGCCAAGACTTTCAGGAAAATCTTTCAGCTACCATAGATGGAAAAAATGAGATATTCCATGATAAAGTAAAATGTAAAGAATATATAGCCACAAATTCAGCCCTATAGAAAGTACTAGAATAAAAATGCCAACCCTAAAAGTTTAATTACACTCATGAAAACACAAGGGAAAAAACTCAGACAAGCAAAATCAAAGGAAGGAAAGCAAACACATACAGTACAACCAACCACTAACAAAACAACAGTAATTATCAATCACTCCTCATTGATACCTCTCAACCAACTCAATTCACGAATTAAAAACATAAAACAGACTAACATAACTTATGGAAAACAGGACCTATCCCTTTGCTGCATACAAGGAGCACACCTCAACATCAAAGATAGGTATTACCTCAAAGTAAAGGATTGAAAAAAAATATTTTTCAAGCAAATGGACCTAAAAACCAAGCTGTTGTGTCTATTATAATGTCTTAGTGTGCCAGTGTGTGACAATGTCTCTTGCTCTCTGAATATTGTCCAGCTGAGGGCTTCTGTGTCCACTACCATCTTCTAAAAAGAGAATCTTACCTTGCAGTGTTTGAGTGATGAACCGTGCTTAGCAATTAGGAGCCATTTTATTGCTATGTTCTTTTAGCAGAATAATGCTAGTAGATTTTTCTCTAGGATTCATGTTATTGGCCAGGTATGGTTTCCATCTCATAGTGTGGACCTTAAATCCAACTTAGAAAGTACTTGGTACCATAACATTTCTGCCACTGGTATTAGTACCAGCTTTTCCCGTGGGTACTTCTGTTGTTTGTAACAGGCTTTTCGGCTGGATCCAGTTAATGATTACTTTTCTTCTCTGTTAGTCTGCATAGTGCCTTCCAGGCCCATGGATGGTGGCTAGCATGGGTGAAGCATCTAGATGGGAACCAGCTTGATTTACCCATATTCATTGTTATAAGTGAGGGATGTCTTCAGTGCTAGGGCTTTATTTTCAAGTTGTGGGGGGTAACCAATTGTCTTCGGAATATTCTGTAATTTTGGATGTTGCTTGTGGAATCCTTTTGGACAACAACCCAAGAAGATATTAATTAACTTTGTGGGATAATGCTTTTAGGCACTGTCAAGATTTGTTAACGCATACTGGCTTAATACCATGCTGATTGGCCAGTAACCAGGCAGAAATTATAGGTGGGACAACCAGACAAAGAGAATTCCTGGAAGAGGAAAGACCAGATTCAGATGCCATACGGATGCAGAGGAAGCAAGATAAGAATGCTGCACTGATGAAAGGTACCAAGCCAGTTGGTTAAACATAGACAAGAATTATGGGTTAATTTAAGTTGTAAGAGCCAGTAAATAACAATTCTGTGCTAATAGGCCAAATTGTTTATAATTAATATGAGCCTCTATGTGTTTCTTTGGGACTGAATGGATGTGGGACTGGGTGGGACAGAGCTTCTGCCTACAATAAAACATTTTGGGCACTGGAATTTTAATTTTGGCATAAGATACCTGTTTTATTTGTTTCTTTTGGCAGCACATATACCAAAATTGGAACAATACCGAGAAGATTACATGACCTCTGTGCAAGGATGATACACAAATTCATGAAGTGTTTCATACTATAAAAATGAAAAAAAAATATTGATTTGGGACATTTCTCCTTCATTATATTATGACTGAATTTAAGTTCCTTTTATATGTATATGCCAAAGGTTCTCAACACCCATGGGGATTGTTGAACAAGCCTTTCATCTGGGTCTGACGTTAGATATTCTACATATCTAATATTTATATTATGATTCATAAAAATAGCAAAATTGCAGTTATTAAGTAACAATGTAAATAGTTTATGGTTGGGTGTTGCGGGAGGTCCTCCCACTCCTCCAGCCTATCACCGCTGAGGTACCAGCCCACTGGGGCGTGGTTTCTCTCCCTTTAAAAAAGCGGCCACTTCCCTCTGCTCGCTCTCTTCACTTCCTGCTCCACCAGCGACTAGACTCCTTTCCTGGTTGCAAAGAGGGCTGTTGCCTGGGACAGTGATCTGTAAGTTTTTTCCCCTTTAAATAAATACCACCCTAATAATCATAACCCCGAATTGGTGTGGCATTGTTTGTGACTTACGCCTTCATTTTGGCACCCAACGTTTGGTTTTAGAACCTCTCCTTTCCCCACTCGCAGCCGCGAGTTGGGCTTGGCGGCCCCAAGTTCGGCTTGGCGGCTGCGGGCTTTGCGGGCGCAAGTTCAGCTTGGCGGCCACGGGCTTGGCAGGCTCTAGTTCGGCTTGGCGGGAGCCCTCCCCTTCCTCAGCTGCCAGCTGCCTTGGACTCCCCACGTGGATTTAAACTCCACAGGCCCGCTTAGTCTCTGGCCACGTGGTTTGCTCTTTTCTGAGTCATTTTTAAATCTCCCTTGCAAGTACAGCTCTTAAGTGGCAGGAACCAGAGCACGTGGTTGCTGAAAGCTGCAACCCCTCAGGGTGACTCTGTCACGTGGAGGCATAAGCGGCTTCCAGATTACTCTTCTCTACCCCTGGATTCTGGGTTTCTGGTTCCGTCTCAGGAATTGATTTAATTACATTTACTTTGTTGAGAAACTTGCATTTTCCAGTTTTTAACATCTACTAAGGCACTGAAACAAGACCATGTTTTCACCGCGACTCTGCAACAGCGCCACCTGCTGGATAATAGGTAATATTGCAGTTTTTGTTTCTAACGCAAATTTTACTGCTTTGTTTTCACTAATACAATGGATTAGTAAATTTATATTTACTAATACAATGAATTACATCATACAAGGTTTATATGATTATGGGGATACCTTAATTTGCTTGTTACTAGCCTTCAGTTTTCTTTTCCATATTCTATCATTAAGGAAGATTATGGCACTACTAAGAACGATTGAATCTTTACGTACTAATAATGAACAGAAGAATATGGCACTCCTAAGAATGATAGAATCTTTACGAACTAATAATGAACAACTAATTGACAGGATTAAAATTATTGAAAATCAGAGGTTATCTGAACAAGTGGATACTATGAGAGACAAAATTGATTCCATATCCAAGGGTATTAGAAAGTTACCTGAAAGGGTTCAGGCTGTTGAATTTGACGTTCAGACTTTATCACAAAGTTTTGATAAGGTAACAGACAGAATGTACCTCCAAGATGGGAATCTACATGATATACAAGAAAAGTTTAAGGAGGACATGTTATCTTTGAAGGAAAAAATTAAAGCTTTGGAATCACAGGTGCAGAATGGGGACCAAAAAATTGATACCTCAGTGAAATCACTGGAAATATATACAGGTCAGGAGATTCAGGATTTAAGAGAGACAATGATAAAAAGATTTGAAAAGATTGGGGAAATTATTGCAGCTGGTGAACAGAGTAAGGAGGCACAAGGACAGGATATAAGGCCTCCACCAGCTATTAGAACTGGCTTACCCAGGGTTCTAGCGACATACCCTATAATTAATTCTGAAAAAGCATCAACTTCTAAAGGCTCAAAGAGAGTCAGAGAAGCTAGATGGACGCCAATAGCAATGAATGATCTGAAAGAAATTAAGCAAGCTGTTGTTAATTTTGGCTTGCACAATGCATATGTAAAGGAAATGATAAGGACTTGGGCTTCTAATGCTAGAGCTACTCCCCATGATTTCCATCAGTTAGTGTCTGCAGTTTTAGATAATGGACCTTCCTTGATGTTCGGAATTTATTTCAGAGAAGAATCCAAACATATGGAACAGCAAGGAAGAGCAAAAGGTATTGAGGTTTCCCAAGATCAAATTCTTGGTGCAGGAGAATATGCTGATCCACAGGTCCAAGCTCTTTATGACGATGAAGTACTGTGTCTATGTCACCAAGCAGCTTTAAATGCTTGGAATAGGATACAAGATCCAGCAAAAAGGGTTGAATCATATACCAGAATTAGGCAGGGACAGAGAGAACCCTTTATTGACTTTTTGCAAAGATTAATTAAGGCTCTGGACATAGGGGTAACAGACCCAGAAGCTAGACGAATACTTCTTGAATCTCTAGCTTTTGAGAATGCAAACATAGAATGCAAAAAGATAATTGGGCCTTTAAAGTCTAGATCAGCACCTATGGATGAATGGATTCAGCATACGATGAATGTTGAGACGTTTAGCTATAATGATGAACCTTGGGTAGGAGAAGCGATTTCCAAAGCAATGAGGAGACATCAAACTGCCAGGTGTTTTAATTGTGGTAAATTAGGACATTTGCAAAGGAATTGCAGGCAAAGAATTTCTAGGAATAATATCTCTTCTGGGAATGACAAAAATAGGAGACCTCGGCCTTCAGGTATATGTAGGAGATGCGGTAAAGGCAGGCATTGGTCCAACGAATGTAGGTCAACAACAGACAGACGGGGCAATCCGATATCATCGGGAAACTCCTTGGGGGGCCTCTCGCAGGCCCCCAAGCCAACAGTGGCCCAGTCATTCCCAGTCACAGTGGAGAACGTGCCTCACCAAGAAAATTAAAAGTTCCAATTTCTGCTGTAAAAAGTAATACTGGTCTAAATGAAGAATTACGTGTGGAGGATGAGTCAAAAAACCCAATAGGACAGAGTAAACGTATATTTTGGCAGACTTCTATTAATGATCAAAGACCAAAGCTAAGAGTCTGTATAAATGGCACTTTTATTGAAGGCTTATTAGACACAGGTGCGGATGTAAGTATCATTACCCCAGAATCTTGGCATCCGAATTGGCCTCTTCAAGAGGTAGATGTTCAGTTCCTGGGAATTGGAACCCTATCTCGTGTAAAACAAAGCACAAGATGGGTTGAATGCATAGGGCCCGAAGGGCAAATAGGAAGAATAAGGCCATATATAGCATATTGCCATAAATTTATGGGGCCGTGACCTGCTACAGCAATGGAATACCCAGATTAACATTCCTGTATTTCCAGGAACTCATAATTCTGGGAAGGATATGATGAGGTATTATGGAAAAAGGTCACCAGCCATTCGGGCTGTACAAGAACATACAGCAAATACCAAACCTTTAGAGGTACCAACGGCCCTACCTTTAAAATGGCTAACTGAGAAGCCAATATGGACCAAACAATGGCCTCTAGCTGAAGATAAACTACAGGCATTGGAACAGCTGGTGCAAGAGCAACTAGATGCTCACCATATTGAAGAATCAACCAGCCCTTGGAATTCTCCTGTGTTTGTTGTAAAAAAGAAATCTGGTAAATGGAGAATGGTGACAGATCTAAGAGCTGTCAACAAAGTAATTCAACCTATGGGCCCACTACAATCTGGAATTCCTTTGCCTTCTCTGTTACCAAAAGGATGGCCTCTTATAGTTATTGATTTGAAAGATTGTTTTTTCACTATACCATTACAAAAAAAGGATAGAGAAAAATTTGCCTTCACAGTGCCTACTTACAATAATTCTCAGCCTAATAGGAGATATCAATGGACTGTCCTCCCATAGGGTATGCTCAATAGTCCTACACTGTGCCAATATTTTGTAAGTAAGCCATTGGAAATAATTCGTAAACAATTCCCCAAGTCCATCATTTATCATTACATGGATGACATCTTATTATCTGATTCAAATAAAGATACTTTAGAAAGGATGTTTGAAGAAGTAAAGAAAGTCTTGCCTAGGTAGGGATTACAAATTGCCCCTGAAAAGATTCAAAGAGGAAATTATATTAATTACCTAGGTTACAGAATAGGGTTAGAGAAAATTAAAATGAAAAGGCAGAAATTAGGAGAGACCGGTTAAAGACTCTTAATGACTTCCAAAGATTGTTAGGAGACATTTCCAGTCTACGACCAGCTGTTGGGATAACACCTGATCTAATAGTTCATTTAAACAAAACCTTAGATGGTGATAAAGATTTGAATAGTCCAAGAGAACTGACAGCTGAAGCAGAAAAGGAACTGACAATGATTGAGGAAAAATTACATGAGGCACATGTGGATAGGGTGAACCCAAATCTTAGCTGCATCCTAGTCATATTGCCTTCCAGAATTTCTCCTACAGGGATTCTAATGCAGAGGGAAGATATTATTTTAGAGTGGATATTTATACCTAATAAACCAAGTAAAAAATTAAAAACTTATATGGAAAAGGTCTCTGAATTAATTATAAAAGTTAAGCTGAGACTTCGTCAACTAGCAGGTATAGACCCAGCAGAAATTATAGTGCCTTTTACTACTGAAGAAATAAAAAAGTTATGGGAAGACAATGAACCGTGGCAAAGAGCTTGTGCTAACTTTTTGGGAGAAATTAATAGCAACTATCCCAAAAGTGATAGACTTAATCTCATAAAAAGAACTTCTTGGATTCTTCCTAGAATTGTACGTGATGCTCCAATAACTGGAGCCCGTACATTCTATACTGATGCAAATAAATCAGGGAAAGCAGGTTACAAGTCAGATGAATTGAGTAAGGTGGAACAAAGCCCTTATAATTCTGTCCAGAAGGCAGAATTATATGCCATTCTTATGGTGCTAAGGGATTTTAAAGAACCTCTTAAAATAGTTACAGATTCACAATATGCAGAAAGAGTTATCTTGCATATTGAAACCGCTGAATTTATACCAGATGACACAGAGTTGACTTCATTGTTTATCCAG